AATAACCATATTCATATTGATAATAATGTATAATAATACCAATACTAACACACACCTGTATGTACAAATGTACATAAACATGCATACCACCATATTAAAATACAAATCCTTTAACTCACTCATGAATTCAACTGTTAGAATTTCACGTGGTCAAGAGTAATAACAATACAAACATTCTTTCGAATGTATATCATCAATAATATGATAGTACTAACGCTAACACTACTGCTAATACTTAACACAAAATCTATACTAACATCAATATTTACATAGCTATTTATACTCGTACGAATACGAATACGTAAACCCTTGTGCGTTAACAGTAGTACTATCACCAACACTAATACGGACTTTGATAATCTGCTGCATATTCAAGAATGCCACTAGTATTACCAGCATGAACACTCATATTATGGCTATTACGAGTATAAATAGTCCTACTTCTACTAGTATTGACATTAATACTCCTACGAATACCAATAGTATATTCATATTGATATGAAAACTAATACCATTACTAATAGACACCTGCATATACTCATGTACATAAAATACGTACCACTATCTTAAGATACAGATATATACATCAGTGCATTCATGTATTAATGCTTTGGCATAGGCATATACCCATATACCAATGTATCAATATACTTCTCGTTGTTGTATGAATATACTATACGAATATGTGACTATAATCATATACGGCTACTGCACTATGCAAGAATACCGACATGACAAGTTCGTATACTAATATGCCAACATACTGATATACTTATACATGATTAGATAAAACAGTAATATAGTACACATATTCGTACACTAATATGCTAACGTACGAATATACTGGTATGTCAATATACTAGTAAGCTAATACAGCAGTATAGTAGTGTAGTCATGCACCAGTTGTACTAACATGTAAAATATACTAGTATACAAGTATGCAAATATTTTGCTGTCCGAATACATTGATGTATTGATATACTAATCTGCTAATATACGAGACTATCAATATACTAACATATCAAAACTAACTAGTTCTAATATTGATACTAATACTAGCACTTCTGCGAATATAAGCTGCTGTTAAACCCAGCATTAAGACTGATACTGATACTACTCGTAGCAGTGGTGTTGTATTACTGACATTGACACTGGCACTAGCGCTAACTCTAACACGAACATGAGCACTAACACTAATTTATAGTTGGCAATATTGATACGTATACTTACAGCAAGCAATAGTACTAATATTAATAACAATACTCACCCTAATACCGATACTACCACAAGACTATTACGTAACTCATGTGCCGCACGTCTGGTGCTATACTATATACCTCATGTAACGGTTTTGCTTCACAGAATATCGTTGTGCACGGTGTTTTTTAGACCCGTGGTCTGTCACCGGGGGGGGGGGTGAGCATATATATATATATATGTCTTTATGATATATGATATATGGTGATCCGGAATCGCCAGATGAGGGGCTTGTTTTAGACGTATCATGAACCGCTATCGCCAATTGAGGGGACATGTTTAACATGTGTGTTGAACCGTTATCGCCAATTGGAGGGGGCGTGTGTTCAAGATATAGGATGAGCCGGAATGACTAAGGGGGCGTGCTTTAGATATATGATGAACCGGAACCACCAAATCAGGGGCGCTCTTCAGATATATGGTTCAAGATATATAATGAACCGGAATAACCAAATGAGGGGTCGTGTCTAAAATATACGGTGAGCCGTTATCGCCGACTGAGGGGAGCGTGTTCAAGATATAGGATGACCTGGAACCACCAAGTGCTTAGATGTATGGGGTACCGGAATCGCCACATGAAGGGGCGTGTTTGAGATATATGATGAATTGAAATGGCCAAACGAGAGGGCCTGTTTCAGATATATGATGAACCTGAATCGCCAAAAGGGGGGAGGCGTGTTTACGATATATGATGAACCGGAATCTTGAGCCGTTATCACCAAAAGAGGGGGCGTGTTCAAGGTATCTGGTATATCGTTTTCCGAATTCCCCTTGACAACTTAACTTAGGGATCAATTAAGGCTTGGGCTTCAGGGTGCAGGTAGCATAACATGTTCGCGAATCGAAGATGTCATTAAAGTATTAAGTGCGATAGTCCTTGCTAGACCATGGGTCGAACGAAGCAATGCCGACAGACGCACTGACATAGAGGCCTTGAATTCAACACAGCTCCAACGGCGTAGCCTGACAACCGGATTACACGCCTGCCCACTTCCCGCCTTCCCCCCCCCACCAGGGGCACCAGCCACACCATACACTACAAAACCTACCAAACATCACCACCACCCAAACCTGCCCCGCCTCACACGCAACCACAAAGGCATCCTTGTTTTACCCGGTCTTTGACCCCTTCCCGCGTCGTCATTGTCTTTGATTGTAGAAAACCAGAGCCCCATTTTGTTAGCGCACGCTGCGGCTGGGCCCTGTCTCGCTTCACCCCCCAAAAGAGCACACCATGTTGTTTTATCTGGTCTTTGACCCCTTCCCACGTCGTCAGTGTCTTTGATTGTAGAAAACCAAAGCCCTTTTTTGTTAGCGCACACTGCGGCTCGGCCCTCTTGCTTCACCCCCCAAAACAGCACACCATGCTGTTTTACCTGGTCTTTGGCCCCTTCCCGCTTCGTCATTGTCTTTGATAGTAGAAAACCAGAGCCCCATTTTGTTAGCGCACGCTGCGGCTTCACCCCCCAAAACAGCACACCATGTTGTTTTACCTGATCTTTGACCGCTTCGTCATTGTTTTGATTGTAGAAAACCAGAGCCCTTTTTTGTTAGCGCACACTGCGGCTCGGCCCTGTCTCGCTTCACCCCCCAAAACAGCACACCATGTTGTTTTACCTGGTCTTTGACCCCTTCCCGCGTCGTCTTTGTCTTTGACTGTAGAATTCAGAGCCCCATTTTGTTGGCGCACGCTGCGGCTTCACCCCCCAAAACAGCACACCGTGTTGTTTTACCTGATCTTTGACCGCTTCGTCATTGTTTTGATTGTAGAAAACCAGAGCCCCATTGTGTTAGCGCACGCTGCGGCTCGGCCCTGTCTCGCTTCACCCCCCAAAACAGCACACCATGTTGTTTTACCTGGTCTTTGACCCCTTCCCGCGTCGTCTTTGTCTTTGACTGTAGAAAACCAGAGCCCCATTTTGTTAGCGCACGCTGTGTCGCCCCGTTCAAGACGCACTCTCGATATCACCGTTGCTCCTGATGCTCCTGCTTGGGCCCAGCAGACACAATTTCAAATGCAAGCCCCCGCACACACAGACAGCGAGGACCAGCGGATCCAGGACCACGGGGACATTGCTGCGTGGTTCCACGAACACCAACGTGCCCAGAACTTGAGCTTGGTACTTAGTCCGACGCTTCAATTTCTAGACGCATTGTTTGACGTTCCCTGAGCATCCCATATTGATTTACAATCAATATCTTGATTTTGATGGTTCGCAGAATCAATATAATATATTGATTTCTTGACATCGATAATCAAATGTAAAAATGAATAAAACAATCAATATGCGAATCAATATGCAAATCAATATGTAAATCAATATGCTAATCAATATGTACATATATGTATACATGCCATTTTATATTGCTAATATGCATAAAATACATATGATCGAGCATATATGAAAATATGTATATGTGTGTGTAAGGCTTTGGGTATAGAAGACTGTAATGTAGAGGTGTGGGGTATAAAGGTGTCGGGGTAAGGGGTTTTGGGGGGGGTTAGAGGCAGAAGGATTTAGGGCTATAGGGGAGGTTCACAAACATCGGGGTTTAGGGCTCTGGGGGTTTAGGGGTAAGGGGCTAAAGGGTATGGGGTCGTAGGACTTTCGTGGGCAGATGGCTTTAGAAAGTCTAGCAGAAAGCGAGGTAGAATGAGAGAAAGAGAGAACAAACGAAACGGAAGGATAGGGAACGAAGAGAGAAGAGAGAAGCGGCTTATGGAACAGATACAGACAGAGAGAGAGAGAGAGCTAGACAGATAGAGAGACAGATCAAGAACAACATAGAGAAGGCAAGGATAAAGTGGCAGGAGAGAGAAACACCTAGGACAAACCAAAGAAATAGAAAAAGAGAGAGCGAAAGAAGGAGCGACACAGAGACATAAGAGAGAGAACGAGAGAAGGACACACGGAGAGAAAGAACACGAGAGAGAGAGAGAGATGACGAGAGAGAGAGAGAGCGAGAGAAAGAGAGAGGGAGGGAGAAAGCGAGAGAGAAAGAAACAGAGAGAGAGAGAGAGAGAGAGAGAGAGAGAGAGAGAGAAAGGGAGAAAGACAGGAAGCAAGAAAGGGAGGAAGAACGATAGAGTTTAGAGGGTTTAGGGTTTGGGGGTCTCGGGTCTCGGGTTTTTGTTAGTTCCTCTAGGTTTTGGAAGCTAGGGGCTTTGAGGGAGGGCTGTGACATTAGGGGTTGTGGCGTTCGTTCTTTTGTTTCGGGGGGTGGGGGGGTTCTACGTTTCCAACATCATTCTCCCCAACCCCAAACCCCGAAGCTTTTCCAGCCAACCCCCTAACACCCCCGAGCCCCTAAAGTCTGCCACCCACCAAAATCCTCACCCCGACCCAAAACCCTTAACCCTTCACCCCCATCGGGTTTGAAGGTGGTGGCGATGGTTTCGTTTCGTTTCACTCGCAGCTAGGGAGTCCAAGCCTTGCGTACAGTTTGTGTCAGGACGACTGTTTAGTCGCCCCGGCCGTCATATGACAGCACATACTCTGTGGTATGCACGGGAACCAGACAAAGCTATCACCGCCCCGTAGAGCCTGTAAGCATGATAGCTGGAGAATGTACAGTAAAGTAAAGCGCGCTTGTAAGTGCCACGGTGCAGAGCAGAAAAAGAAGAAGCACCTGTCGGCAGGTTACAGAGAGTACTGAAGAGAAGGATAAGTGACGTGTGTCACACACACACGTGTGGACAGACCGTCACCGCAATCTCCCCATCAGCACTGCACTGCAGGAAGTCACCCAGGGATGAGGCAATGGAAGCCGGCCCATTCAAGTAATGCGCGATCCGCCGGCGTCAGAGCTTGCAAGCCCTTAGCGTGATGCGCGACAATCAAGATGCGGTCACCGCAAGACCATGGAAACGTGGCATGCGCCAGCCGTGGGTCCAGCATCAAGTACGGAAGCTGCACCGAACGCAGGCATCCGGCGCCTGAGCGCCCATCCAAGTGAACAGATCCTTGTTCATCGGCGACCCAAACCTGTCCCCCCCGCCAACGGCTGCAGGGCAACAGGAGGTTAGATGTGCCGACTTCATTCGCCAGATCACGATGTTTGTTATGCATAACATTCATCAGAAGTGTGCAGCTGCTGTAATGGTGACGCGGGTTGGCACCATTGATTAAGGCTGTCATCAAGCGAGTCATCCACGGATAATCACGCGTGTTATTCTGAATACCCTGCGTGCCACCCGCCGCATACGCTCCAACTGAAAAAGAGCGCTGGCATCGCCCCGTGGCTCCATCCGAAGTGCTCAGACGACGACGCTTGGCAGAAGTTTGTCCTGGCAGTACAAGACAGAGATCAAACAGCTGGCGCATGGAGCAGCTATCCGCTTGACAGATGTCGTAGGCAATCCGCTCCAGCGCTGAAGCATCTGCCCCTGGATCAGGTGGGCAGTCCCCGAAGTCGAAGCACAGTTCATGCGAGACCTCGTCATCGTCTATATTCCAAACGTCGCACCAACTGCCCGGAGCAGATGTAGAGTGCGCAGAGTGGGAAGTGGAGGACGAGGCAGGCATCGCAGAAGGGTCTGAGGAGATGGAATCGCCGTGAGGTTCCACCAGCGCAGTGTCCGGCGTGAGCGGTCGTGCCACCGATGTGCCAGCATCATCCTCAACCTCGCTGTCCTCCCCAAACTCCGGATGAGCTACCCCCAAAATGGAGGGGAGCTCAAGTTCCCAGATGTCCTGAGGTACATGTGCCGGCCTTTGCGGTAGCATCAGGCTAGAGTGGTTTTTTTTTGTTATAATATCCTCTTAGCCAAAGAAAAGATGCCAAGGGCCCGGTGCCAAGGGCCCGGTACCAAGTGCCAGTCACCACAGCAGCACCACGAACCTCCTGCAGTTGTCCCGATCACTGAAGAAAGCGTCCAGGAATCGACCAATGGGCAGCACTATACCAGCAGAAGCAAGTGGGGTTCAATGAAGGCCGACTGAACTCAGCAGCAGTGGGCTGCGCAGAGTGAGGTCAGACAGCAGCCAGGAGGTGTAGGTCAGCAGGCCAACGGTGGCTGAGCGCAGAGTTGTGCTCAGAGTTGTGACTTCGGAGTGATAAGAGTTCAAGCAGCATATGTCACTCAGAGATGTCACCAAGGCAATGCGGGGGTTAGGGAATGAGAATGGAGGCGCCAAGGGGTTAGGGTCATGCTAGGATAGTCTACACAGACGTGACGGGGCCACCTTACAACTTGCTTACCATCGAACAAGAAGTGTATGCCTGCAGGAGCCCAGAGTACGCGCGTCTTCCAAGGTGGCCGCACAGCTGAACGTCCTGCTCCTAGACAACCTTATCCAGCCAGGCTCAGGCAGTACGTGATTGTCTTAAGCGCGATTCGCACAGTTTTGCACACGCACTCGATCAGGTAGTGTTGGGCATCAGTGCCGTCCTCCCCTAGTACACTGAATTTGCAGTGTAACACGTATCCGGCACCTAATGCTATCGATCCCCGACCCCCGGTATGCGCTCGCGGCACTCGGATGCCAGCGGTGTGAGTACACTACAGAAGGTGCCACCATTATGCCGCAGGCCCATTGATGCATTGCATTAGTGAGTTAATGGGTTTATGGGTGCGTGCGCTGCGGGAGCGCAACACGAAAGGCACACAGAACATCAGGTATGGATCCCAGGAGGACCGTGTGGCTGCTAGGTTGGCAGTGCAATCGCGGACACCTGTATGCACTTTACATACCCGTACGGCAGTATGGCATGTCAGCATCCCGTGTCGCCACACACTCCGTGCTGTGATCGGTCAAACCCTGCCGGTCTGCACTCACATCGAGCAGCTGCCGATGCGAGCCAGGATGGGCGTCCCCCACCTGAGAGTCAGGCAAAATTAAGGCAAAAAGGGTGGTACCATAAGGCGCGCGCGTCGGTGCTAGCGACGCAGCGGTTGCGATGACAGGAAAGTGCAGTTTTTTTTTTCGGCTTCGGGGATTTAGCGCATCGCGGGCGACGCTGCTTCGGTGTGGATGTAAAATCGAGGCGCGTACCTTCAGTAGCTGCCCCGAGTGGGCGCCGTCGCGCCCAGGATGACCTTAGGCAACCAAGGTGGGCGGAGGCTGACAGCCAGATGTCAGCCGCACTTCATCATTGAGCGCTGCAGGCTCCAGGACTGCCCAGAAGAGATAAGCCTGATCGGACCTGAATTCGAACCCACTACCGGAGCAGGCTTGAGGGACAGGCATAGCCCCGTCATCGCAAAACCAAGCCTGAACATCAGCCATGATTAGACAGGTATAATGCCCAGAGGTGAGAGCAGCACCGGCATGATAGATCACAGCGCAAATGCGATATCGAAGGTGCGTGATGCCGAGTGCATCGTCTGAAAAGGCAGGCACACTGATGAAGTGGGACCATGCGACACTACAATGATTCTTGACAGTGGCTCCGGTCGGGGTTTGCCTGTACCGCGCGATGCGGAGAGTCAGCACCTGGGGCGGGTATCGCAGTGCATGCATGCTGTGTTGGGTACTCCAAGCTCCGATGAGGGCCTGTAGGTCTGCATTGGCACGGGCAGGGGGGTCAAGGCCTATTGTGCAGTCACAGGATCCCGTGTCAACAACCCCAAAAACCCCAGCCTCAAGAATCCTAGCTTCCCAAACCCCGAAGAGTAGATTGGAGCGGAACCGCTCGGCCAGATGGGCTAAGAGCTCTGCGCAGTCGTGCTGATCCGAGGGATTCGTCCATCTCGTCAGTAGAGACCTCCAACCGCGAAGATCAAAGGGGCAGGTGGGCGCATTACGCAGGGAGAGAGAGCGCACGGCCGCAACACCTAACCTAGAGGTGGCCTGTTCCCACCCATGGAAGCCCACGAGGGCCCAACAAAGGCACCTGAAGAGTGCATTCATGTAGCACAGGTTCCCTGGGTTGGTCCAGACAGCGTGCCTCAGCCACACCATTCTGCAAGCTTCTGGATCCCATTCGATCGCTTGTAGCTTTCCTTGCGAAAGGAGAGACCGAGCATGTTCAGCGGCGCCAGGCCAGCGAGGCGCTCCAGGTTGGTGTAAAGCTGATGAGCCCGCGGGGATCGGAACTGAATGTCCACCTTGAAGGTTACCACCCCCTCCATGGATTCCGCCAGCTGCCGCGTTGCAGCGAACCGGCTGACCGTCTCCCCATCGGCCAGAGTGCCGGTCTGACGCAGAAGCGTGATGAGATCCGTCTGATTCATCGACTGCTTGTTCTCGTCCGGCTCGAGAGCCTGGTTGGCACGATTCCAACGGAGATAGAGCCAGTTGCCCTGCTGATCGATCCACTTCCGCTCGCACGCCTCCGACAGCAGCTCTGCTGGGGGGGACTCCAGGGTCGAACGCAGGACCCGAAGGAGAGCCCAAATGAGCGCCACTCGGAGGCCGAGACCGTAGAGCTCGGAAGTCTCCTTCCAAAGAGCTGCCGTCGACGTAAGAGTCGGGACCAAGGAGGGAGGCGAGGTCTGCATCCACATCACCCACGCGGTCGACTGGCGCAGGACGGCAATCGTATCCGCTTGCTCCACGATGGTGCGTGCCATCAGGCGACACATCTGCAGATCTGGGACGGCCTCCTCCTCCGCTTGTTGCCAGCCGAAACCAGCGCTGGAGCCCCAGAATGGAGCTTGGCTCTCTTCTGGAGGACGACCCGCTCGGCCGCGGCCCCGGCCTTTGCCCTTGCCCTTGGGATCGGACTTCTGTCCACGACCCTTGCCGTCCTTGCCCTTCGCCGCTTTGGGATCGCGCGAGGGGGCTCCGGTATCCGGAGCTGCAGGCCTCTTGTATTGCAACGACTTCAGGATCGGTCCGAAGGCCTCCTCCATCTGCTGATCGGCCTGTTCCGAGCTGAGACCCATGATGCAGAGCAAGAAGAAGAGCCTGCCAAAGGGCGGTGCAGTGCCGAATGTGCTGAACAGGGTGAGTGCGCGATTCGTTGCAGTACAGGCAAGGACTGAACGCTGCGCCAAGCCTGGGCGCAAGCTGGCGTGCGCTCCCGTCTAGTTCAAAGGCGGCTTTGTGCAGGCTGCGGTAGTGAAGCTTCAGAGTTTGACTATGTGCGTGCCACTGCCCACAGAGTCCACAGTAGTGCGTGAGCAGTCTCATGCATGTGGACCTCAAAAGTCCTGCGGCACCACCTTTTTCCAGTTGTCTCACAACCTCGGCAGCCAGCGGAGCCGAGGCGTCCTCAGCAACTGGTATCGGCGGGAGATCGGGCTCGGGATTACGTGCAGGTGCATGGACAGGGGAGATGACAGCAGCAGCAGTCTGGTCGGTCAAAAGTGGGGCTGGTGCCTCAGAGCAACAAACCTCGGCTGGTACAGGCGCTGGCTGCGGAGGGTCCGCTATCTCAGAGGGGAGAAAAGCTAGAGACTCCGGGAATTCCCGCAACGACGGTTAGTGATGTGTGATGAAAGACCCTCCCATCGTGTAAAGGACTTTTTGCAGAAGGCGCAGGTAGGGCCGGTAGGGAGAGCTGCGACCGCATGCAGAGCACGATTGAAGACAACAGTGGCCGTCTGCTGTTGGTGCGACCGCGCCATATGCAGCTTCAGAGATTTGCGCGTATCAAACGAGCGGTCACAGAGGCCGCACGGGAAGGCCCTGGCCACGGGAGGATCCGTCGGTATGGCAGCGAACGGTGCGACCAGAGCAGAGCCCGCAAGGGGCTCGCTTGGCTCAGGCGCATCCAGGGTGGACTCGGACGGTCCGGGCGGAGGAAGTGCGGTGAGAGGCAGGGTTGCAGGCAGTGATAGATCCTGGGACTCTAACTGTTCTAGACCGGGTGGGGGAGCCAGGTGTGCAGAGGCAGAAGGGGGCGGCCTAGTAGGAGTGGAAGTCAAAGGTGGTGGATCCCAGCAAGAACCCAGATAGAGGATCCAAGGGTGTTGTGATCCGAACACAAAGTTGTCCCCTGGGATTTGCCTACCTAGCATACCGGGGCATGGGCACACCAAGACGGAGGCAGAGGGCGGCGTCCGACTCATGGTGTATGTGTGCAGGGCTGTTCGAGAGGGCCCGAAGCTGCTTGAGGGCTAGTGTTTGAAGGGAGGCGAGGTGAGCGGTCGTAAGACCGCAGGCCCCCAGGCCGTAGAGAAGGCAGGGCCACACAGTGGTGCGCCAGAGGAGGACACGCTGGGTGAGAAGCAGACCTTTTCGGGCGTTGAGCACCTTGCGCAGCTGAACTTGTGCAGTCCGGCCCTGGGCCATACGCTTGTCCAAGGTCTGCGCAGAAAAGCAATCATACGAGATTACAGCTCCGAGGTAATCCGCGCTACGCGCGAGGGGTATGAGAACATCCTCGCCAGAGGCACGGAGGCGCAGACCCTTTCCTTCGGCAGGCGCGGTCAGGGGCTTCACAAAGCGTTGTCGGGTTTGCTTGACCTGTGAGCCGGTGCACGTCAAAAGGGCCTGGGCTTTCGAGGGGTGAATGATCAGCCCATGTTGACGCAGAACAGTGATCGCAGCCCCCAAGCGCTGGCACTCCAGATCAAATTCCGCAACCGAGTGGAATAGCGAAGCGAGGTGTAGATCGTCTGCAAACATGGTTAAGTGTTCAGACACCCACGACGATCCTAATCGAAGGTCGATACGACGGGCAAGGAGAACGGTACAGGCAGCGAATAACAAGGGCGATGCAGGGCAGCCCTGCTTTACGCCGCGCCTGGCCACTATATTGGCGCGGAGACCCGAAAGGTGGAGATCATATGAGCAAGAGCTAAGCCATGAAAGGAGGAGGGAGGCGGGCCCCGCCTCAACCCCAGCTTCAAGGAGGGCTTCGCGGACCAGAGAATGGGGTACCATATCAAATGCGGACGCAAGGTCCAAGCAGATCTGGACGCCGCCTTGAAAGGCGGGGATCTTGAGACCCGCGAACCGTTGGTGAGGGTTGCGTGCATGGGATGTTCGCAGGCGACGACCTTCGGCGCAGTGACTGAAGACGGGGCGAAGCGCGTCTTCAGTCGACCTGCCGGCTATGTAGGAGAATTGAGGAGCGCTCCGTACAAAGGTTTCCAAGTCAAATTTGATTTTCCGCATGACCATCGCTATGCATGCTTTACCTAATGAGTCCAGCAGTCCGATGGGTCGAAAATGTTTGGGTTCAGACCCATTTTTGCCAGCCTTAAGCAGGAGGGCTAGGGTGGCTGTTGTCCACAAGTGAGGCACTGACTTGTTTCCCGAGGCTCAACGATCGGAAAGTTGCTGTGCTATGACAGGCGATACAAGATCGGAGCATAAGCGCCACACCGCACCCGGTGAGGTTGATGGGGCTCCGGCTTTCCGTGCCGGCAGTCGATCCAGATGCCACTGGACCTCAGCAACCGTCACAAGGACGGGATCATCGCATTCCAGGGTGGCTGAAAGGTCGGGGGGTTCCGAGTGCGATGCGAACTGTTGTTCAAAGTGTTGCTGCATGATTTCCAGTTCCCGCTCAGGCGTTAACGGAACCCGACCCTGGCAAAGCTGAAAGCGCTTCCGTGAGCCCTGGGGCGCAAGCAGGCGGACCACCTTATAGAATTCCCGAAGGTTACCGCTGGACGCAGCAGCCCTGGCGGTGTCGAAGAGACGATCGCGTTTCTGCTTTCGTAATTCAGCCCCACGGTGCCTAGAGGCTGCACGCATGCGATTGTAAGCTGATTTATGGTGCCAAGCCCGAAACATGGCAGACAGGGGGGCTGACGAGCCCAGTGCCCGAAGCTTGCGGAAAGCCCGAAAGTGGGCCCACATGCGAACCGCATACCCCTGCAATTGATTGTCTTGACACGGCCGGTCGACCTCAGTAGGCCTCCGAGCAGGAAAGACCTGTACCGCGAGGGCGTGTACCTGATCTTGCAAGGTGTCCAAGGTAAGGGAGGGGTCCTGTAGCATACCCTGCACTGCACATCGAAAGGACGAGATCCTGTCATCTGGTGTGCCGTTCAATGCATCGGCAATGGCATGACGGTCAATTTGAGGAGGTGGCGGCTGGCCCCGAGGGCGCCGCCAGGGTTGCCAATCAATAGGGACCTGCGTGCATACCGGAAAGTGGCGAGCGCCCTCCCGAATGCCCACTAGGGGAAAGGAGTAGTGCACCCTAGCCTGCTTAGTGGTACCCGTGGCGTGGGCACGCCGTAGGAACAGGTAATCCAGCTGAGATTTTTGGGAACCCCAGACATACGTGTAGCGATGATTAGGCTTAGGGAGAGAAGTAAAGGTGTTCAAGGCAACCAGGTCATTACCCTCAATGAACGACTGAAATTCCCCCGAGTCCTCAGACCAGTGTTTGTGCGGCATGACCGTAGGACCGACATGGGGCAGACTGGTGTCACACTGGGCATTGAAGTCGCCTGCCACCACCAGAACGCTGCGTAGCGAGACGGCCTGGACAGATTTGGTGAGCACATCTAGGGCACGGTGCCGGAGTTGGGCTACCCTGGCTGACCCACGCCACGTGTGCTGGTACATGTTAAGAATGTCAATCGGTCGCCCGCGGTGTGTAAAGTGTGTCCACAGAAGGCGCCCCGGCAGCGGCTCAACAAATCGGACGGATCCCGGGTCGGCGATCCGTTGGGACACCATAGTGAGGACCCCACCTTGCTTGAAGTCGCGGTCTGTCGAACCTGAGTGCAGGAAGAACCATCGAGAATCCTCCCACGTATTGCTGAACGTCCACTTAGACTCTTGTATAAGCAGCACATCGAAGGGATGTGTGTTGGCAAACACTTGCAATTCATCAAAGAGTGTACCCTCCTTCCCACCAAGACCACCAGCATTCCAGGTCATAATTTTAAGATGTCGGGGCTTCGGCTTTGCGTCTGGAGGCGCATGCTTAGGGGGGCGAGCCTGATCGGAAGAGACAGGCATCGGATGCTCATCCGAGGCAGCTGCAGGCGCACCGAGTTGTTGCGCCGAGCGCCATCGCCCCCTGTAGTAGGCACCACCTGCACGCGTGGCGCGCGCAATTGCACGCTTCAGTGTGCGTTTGCATATTCTCGATGTCTGGTCTGAAAGAGAACGCGACACGCCCGTCGCTACTGTACTGCCCGATGGCTTTGCGGCATCACGTGTGTGCCAGCCTGAAGCGGAGGCCGCTCCACCTGCATCCCGGGCTGATGCAGGAACCCTCGCGTCTATCACAGCACGACCTGGCATTACCATAAGGCTCAGGATGAGGCGGCGCAGCCCACATCCCATCGGTGTGCCGTGATCCCTGGACTTGGGACCAGGGGGGCCACTAAAGTTTGGGGTGCTTGGGGAGCAATTACTAGACGGAGCATTCCTACCCTCATGTGTGTGTGTGTGTGCATGGGGTGTAAGTGCGTGTCCCTGTGACAGCTTGCCAACACAAAAAGATGAGCTTGTAGCAATCTCCGGCGACTTCAGCAACGAACCGAAGGAAGCGTGTGTGAAGGACCGGCCTCCAGATTGCCATCAGGCGGCGGTGCACAGCTGGACCTATGCCACGCACTATGGCAACCCACAGAACGTAAGGACCCAGGGCTTGGTGGCAGTGCATCACGATTCGGTGCCAAGTCAGGGCGAGCTGGCCTGCATGGCACCGGCGCGGCCAGCCCCGGTGGCGAATCCTGCGCATCCACATCCATGGGTGACGTTGAAACATGCGGTTGCGCATTAGGGTGGGGATGTGCCAGTGGCGTGGGCGCTGCACTGCAAGGATAGAAGGGGAATGCAGGCATCTAGGGGCAAGGTTACAGGGGCACCGTTGGCAACCCAAAGTCCAAAGGAGACACCCCGAGAGTTCTGAAGTAGGGAACCGGGGCAAAGGTGCATGCCAGAATGCACAAACCCGAGGATCCGAGCCCAAGCCTACTATGGGGATGTGGTAGAGCACTGCACACAGAGCCATGTACTCGCACCCATAGCGGTCGCTGATTGCTTGCAAGTCCTCATCTAACTGAAAGGCAGACGGTGGCGTCCCTGCCCCGTGTAGGCTGAGCTCACCGGCCTGTATGGCTTCCGCTGCCTGAAGCTTAAGTTCTATCCTCCAGAGTAGATCTGCCTCTAGGAACGGAGGAGTCTTCGGTGCTGGATGGTGCAGCACAGCCCTGGCCTCGATTTCTCGGTTCTCGGATTCGGAGACAAGAGGCGGAATGTCAGCGCATCCAGGTGACCATGACCAGTCGGTCTGCGTCAAGTCGACCACTGGCGCATCCACAGCGGTGCTCGATGCATCAGCTTCGCCTGCCTGCTCCTCCAAAGCTGTGCCCACCACGTCTGGCCCCTCTGTGGAGAGGGATAGTGCAGCAATCCTTCCCTGGTCGGTTCCGGCATCCGTGGTCATAGCTGCAGGGAGCCGCCCACACACCTTGGGCGTCGGTGCCAACACAGAGCCACGGGCGTGGTTACCGGTGGCAGTTGTTCTGCAGAGACTGTCAGCCTGGGTCCAAGCGCACCGGCAGGCCAGGAACGAGCCACAGAAGCCACCTGAGGTCCTCCACGTGCGCGCGCGGAGCCGGTGCGCACAGCAGCCGCCCTAGTATTATGAGATTATTAGGGCCACACAAGGGGGTTTCCAAAATAATTATTTTTGCACATTTATTGCATATTTTTTGTGCGTCGCGTTTGCGTATTTTTTGCATGTGTTTTTTCGTTTGCAAATATTTTGCAAATATTTTGCATATTTTTTGTGTTTTTTTTGCATGTGTAATTTTGGGTGTTTAAATGCAAAACAGCCACAAAAATATGCAATACACACTGCGTTTTGCATATTTTTTGCGTTTTTTTTGCATGTGTAATTTTGGGTGTTTAAACGCAGGTGTTGCAAGGCTGCTGCCAGGGCCCAGGGCCCAGGGACGCCAAAAATATGCAAAAAATGTGCAAAACACACTGTGTTTTGCATATTTTAGGGGTGCCGGGCCCACCGGCTGGGCCAGGGCACGGCCCGTAAAATATGCAAAACACAGTGTGTTTTGCACATTTTTTGCGTATTTTTGGCGTGCCGGGCCCACCGGCTGGGCCAGGCACGGCCCGTAAAATATGCAAAACACAGTGTGTTTTGCACATTTTTTGCGTATTTTTGGCGTGCCGGGCAGGTCCTGCCAAGGCCCCAGCACCCAAAGGCCCCAAGGCCCAAAGGCACCAAGGTTCAGAACCGTGTGATGCAAAAAAATGCAAAAAATATGCAAAAAATATGCAAAAAATATGCAATAAATTTGCAAAAGATTTGCAACACAAAAAAAAACATGCAAAATATATGCAAACCCGACGTGCAAAAAATATGCAATCAATTTGCAAAATATCCGCAAAATAATTATTTTCAGTTTCATAGGCTGTAGCCTGCTAATAATCTCATAACCCTAGTAGAAGCAGAGGCAACGGCATCGGCCCTAGCTGATGTTCGGATTGCCCGCGGTACCATCCACTTCGAAGCCACACCTCGGTATCCAGTCTGCGTCGGCGTGGCGTAGTCCCTGCCCATCAGAGAAGCTATAAAGCCAGGAACTCATCAGGAGGCAATTCACGGCGGAGTGCTTCAGGCGGGAAGTCAGCTCCCGGATCATGCCCCCCAGTCGAAAGGGTCGAGGAGGCTGAACTATGAGGCACATAAGCCTCCTCCTCATCGCTTACCTCCACAGGCGCTCTGGCCGGAATGTGCGCTGGCAAATCAGCCGGCCTAGCATACAAGGTAACAGGGCGAGGAGTCGACACATGCCTGGAGCTAGCGGCCGGCTCGCCAGTTGGCGGTTCCATGTCCGAATCTGAGGATGCGGATGCGGAGCTCATTGTTGCCAGATCGGCCCGTCGAGACTTCGGTGGGCGAGCCCGCTCACGCTCAAAGTCGCGGCCCCTCTTATTCCTGTTCTTGCCACCGCGGCGACCGCGTGGGCGCGGCATAGTGCGAAAACACAGCTCGGCAGGCCCCAGGGGCGGGGCGCTTAAATATCCAAAGGCCGGGGTTACTGTGTGACGCCACAAGTTAGACGTTACGGGAGCCCGGGGACTAAATTCCTGGCTAAGTTTCTCCAACCTGAACAGGCCTGTGCAAGATGTCCCAGTCAGGCTAATGTGAGAGCACTGCCAAAAGGGCTGCAGGAGGATGAACGACTCGGACTCAAACGAAAAGCGCATGGTCACGCAACGGCAGTGTGATGACGTGCCTGTCAAGAACCCTACCCAAAAGGAAGACCCCCAGACGTGGAACTGATCCCAGCGACCTTTAAGTCTACAAGCCCACCGGACACGACGGTCTCCTGGGCGGGCCAGCATGTTGAGGGGGCCAGCGCAGCCACACGGCGGTGGTCGTACCTGTGTGGCGGGCTCTCTGGGACAAGAAGGGTACGGAAGAGGCCAACAGGCAGGGAGGTCGCACGAAGTGATCCGAAGGTGGAAGGCCAAAATACCATGGCAGCATGTGGCAGGAAAGTGAGGGCACGGGCTGAGCTGCGCACAGCTGCAGGCGGAGGTGGACCTCCAGCACCGCGCTGGTCCACGCGCCTTAGTGCGGTGCAGCCAGAGTCCGATTGCCTTAGTCCATGGTCTCCAGGTCCAGGGTGGCACGCGGCTTGAGGTTGACTGGATCAGGAAGGGGTCCACAGGCAACCAGCAATCTAGCGGCACGTTTGGCATCAGCTTGGGTCGGGAGACCAGTGGCTGCAGGAGCGTAGGAGGTACCAAAGCGCAAGCCACGGAGCCGTATAGTGCAGGCGAGTGACGAAGATGTTCCAGAGTCGGCACGTTGTCGATCGGCCCCCATGTCAAGCCACTCTCGAGCAGAGGTGGAGACTGCTGATGGTGTAGGCTTACCAGGTGCAGGACGATGTACAGTAGAATCCATATTAGCATCCCAGTGACCACGGCTGAAGCGATACCACAGCAGTTCAGAGAAGCAGCGAGCTATGGCAGAGCAGGTCCTTGAACACCCTGTACGAAAGGCAAACCAGGGAACCCAGGGGGAGCACACACCACGAACCCTGGGGCACACAACACGGCTTGGGCCCAGACGCTTTGGTGGCGATGGTGGTGGTGTTGGTGGTGGTGGTGGTGGTGGTGGTGGTGGGTGGGGGGTGGTGGGTGGTGGGTGGTGGGTGGTGGGTGGTGGGTGTGGGTGGTGGGTGGTGGGTGGTGGGTGGTGGGTGGTGGGTGGTGGGTGGTGGGTGGTGGGTGGTGGGTGGTGCGTGGTGGTGGGTGGTGGGTGGTGGGTGGTGGTGTGGTGGGTGGTGGGTGGTGGGTGGTGGGTGGTGGGTGGTGGGTGGTGGGTGGTGGTGGTGCTGGTGGTGGTGCTGCTGCTGGTGCTGGTGGTGGGTTTGTTGGTGGTGGTCGTGGTGGTGGTGGTGGTGGTGGTGGCGGCGGTGGTGGTGGTGGTGGTGGTGGCCGTGGTGGTGGTGGTGGTGGTGGTGGGTTTGGTGGTGGCGGCGGCGCTTTTTCTAGTTGTGGTGGTGGTGGTGGTGCTGGTGGTGCTGGTGGTGCTGGTGCTGGTGGTGGTGGTAGTGGTGGTGGTGGCAGTGGTCGTGGCGGTGGTAACCCTTCAACCCCACCGGGTTTAAAAGCTTTTGGTGGTGGTGCTGGTGGTGGTGGTGGATTGAGGGGTGGAGGTTGGATGGAGTTGGTTTGGAATGTGCTGCGTGGGGGAGGGGATTAAGGGTTGATGGAGCGGTGGGTGAACACGGTGAGATCTGGGTTTGGGCTGGGCACTTCAAGGTGTTTGGGTTTGGTGGGTGTGGTTTTTATTCTTTGGACCAGGTATCGAAACAAAGTTGAACCAGTTTTGAATTATTTTCCAATTTGGTTCAAAAAATCAAATCTGATGAAATCTGATGAAATCTGATGAAATCTGGTTTTTCATCAGATTTCATCAGATTTCATCAGATTTCATCAGATTTCATCAGATTTCATCAGATTTGATTTTTTTGAACCAATTTGGAAAAAAAAGAATTCAAAACTGGTTCAAATTTGTTTCGATACCTGGTTCAACCCTGCAAGGACCGGAGAAGGGCCAGGAGATAGGAGGGGGGCCGGGGGAGGCCAGGGGGCGCAGGAAGGCACCCAAACCCAAACACCTTGAAGTGCCCAGCCCAAACCCAGAGCTCACCGTGTTCACCCACCGCTCCATCAACCCTTAACCCGCCTCCCCCACCCAGCACATTCCAAACCAACTCCATCCAACCTCCACCCCTCAATCCACCACCACCACCAGCACCACCACCAAAAGCTTTCAAACCCGGTAGGGTTGAAGGGTTACCACCGCCACGACCACTGCCACCACCACCACCAGCACCAGCACCACCACTAGAAAAAGCGCCGCCACCACCACCAAACCCACCACAACCACCACCACCACCGCCGCCACCACCACCAAAACCACCACGACGACCACCCACCACCCACCACCCACCACCCACCACCCACCACCCACCACTCACCACCCACCACCCACCACCCACCACCCACCACCCACCACCCACCACCCACCACCCACCACCCACCACCCACCACCCACCACCCACCACCCACCACCACCCACCACCCACCACCCACCACCCACCACCCACCCAGCGTCCCAACCCACCCCCACCCACCCTTCCTCCCACTTCGCACTCCCTCCACCTCCTGCCCACCCTACCTCCCAAACACCCTCCCACCACCCTCTCACTCACCACTTCAACGGCCAGGGATCCCACACATCTGCGGGCAACATCTGGCGGAAGTGATCCGCCACCTAGCAAAAAGCCTGTAAATACCGCATTAAACAAAGGGCCAGGGATTTCGCACATCTGTTGGCAAAATCTGGCGGAAGTACCGACTGCTCACTTCCGCCAGATTTTGACAACAGATGTGTCAAATCCCTGGCCCTTTGTTTAATGCGGTATTTACAGGCATTTTGCTCGGTGGTGCATCACTTCCGCCAGATTTTGCCCGCAGATGTGTGGGATCCCTGGCCGTTGTTTTAACGCGGTATTTACAGGCTTTCTGCTCGGTCGCGGCTCGCAGGGATTAGGGGGACACCCCTTGCGCTCTGTGGTTTTCTGATCTGAGTTTTCACAAGACCTTAGGGGGACACCCCTTGCGATCTGTGATTTTGGGATCTGAGTTCTTACACAACTTGCGATTTGTGATTTTGGAACTTATTTGTTATAACTCTCTCTCTCTCTCTCTTTCTCTCTCTCTCTCTCTCTCTCGTTATCTCTCTTGTTCTTTCTCTCCTTGTGTCCTTCTCTCGTTCTCTCCCTTTTGTCTCTGTTTCGCTCCTCTCCTTCTCTCGCTCTCTCTCTTTTTTTTCTATTTCTTTGGTTTGTCCTAGGTTTCTCTTTCCTGCCACTTTATCCTCGCCTTCTCTATGTTGTTCTTGATCTGTCTCTCTATCTATCTCTCTCTGCCTCTCTGTCTGTATCTCTTTCTTTAGTCGCTTCTCTCTTCTCTCTTCGTTCCCTATCCTTCCGTTTCGTTTGTTCTCTCTTTCTCTCATTCTACCTCGCTTTCTGCTAGACTTTCTAAAGCCATCTGCCCACGAAAGTCCTACGATCCCATACCCATTAGCCCCTTACCCCTAAACCCCCTGGCCCTAAACCCCGATGTTTGTGAACCTCCACTATAGCCCTAAATCCTTCTGCCTCTAATCCCCTCAAAGCCCCTTACCCCGACACCTTTATACCCCACACCTCTACATTACAGTCTTCTATACCCAAGGCCTTACACACACACACATATACATATTTTCATATATGCTCGATCATATGTATTTTATGCATATTAGCGATATAAATTAGTTTGTAAAACAACATATATAGCAATATGTTAATCAGTATGCTAATCAATATGCCAATCAATATGCTAATCAATATGCTAATCAATATGATAATCCATATGCTAATCAATATGCCGTGTTTTCGGTATATTGATTTTTGACGCTGCGCAAAAAATCAATATCTGTTTGCGAAATTGATTGATTGTAATCAATATGGGATGCTCAGGGTACGGCGACTTCCCGGAGTTTCTGTCAAGCGTGGGCATAGGACTGTCGGTGACTCCTGGGGAGGCACACTGGCAGCTTGGTAAGGTCGAGGTCGCGGTCAAAGCCACTAAGAAGACCATGAAGAAGATCCGCAGCCAAGAGCCCAACCTTCCACCATCAGTGCCCTGGACCCCCTGAAGGTGAACAAGGAGATCATGGAGAAGCCGGCAAACTTTTGGAACCTTCAGAGGCTGAGGGATCGGTCTGAGGAGATCCACCGGCAAGAGTGGGCACGAGAAGCCTTCACTAGGCTCCACAACGCAGCACCAAGGCCAGCCAACAATTTTCAGCTCGGTGATTGGGTGTGTGTCTGGCGCAAGGCGACACTGAAGTCTCGAAAAGGGAGAGTTAACCCGGAGCCCCGGTTCATTGGACCTGGGCGGGTGGCGCTGATCGAACCTGCGGTTCTCCCTGAAGGACGATCCTCCGTGCTCTGGGTGTTGATTGGAGCATCTCTTTGGAGATGCGCACCTGAGCAGCTACGCTTTGCGAGCGAGCAGGAGGTGCTCTCAGAGTTGCTGAGCCGAGGTGAGGCTGTCACAAAGCCAGTCCAGGAGCAGCTCAAGACTATGAGCCATTGGCTGGACGTCACCAGCGAGGGCAAGGGCATGGAAGAGGAAGTGGACCTTCCAAGCGAGCCTCTTCCTGGTGGAGCACCGGTTCCGGAGAGATCCTTGTCCACAGCCCAGCCGCCGGCTGAGTGGATCCGTGGCATAGAGGAGGCGTCAGACACTTGGTCGGATCGCCTTAGGGCGAGAGAGGGCCGCCTCGCAAGGCAGGAGCGGAGTCGCTCTAAGGAGCGACAGCAGACGGTCGAGGAGCAGCGGAGGCAATGGCAGCAGTTCAAGGGACTCAAGGGCCGTCGGAAGGACGGTTTGCCACTGCTGACCCGGATGCCGCCGCAACTTCTGGGACCTGTGCCAGACTCCTGGGAGGTGGACGATGAAGCGAGGATGCTGATTCGGCATCACAACTCGTGGCGCTCCAAGCTTTTCGTGCCACCGGAGAACATGCCTGTTCCAATTGAGGTCGGCCAGTTCACTGGGAAGAGGGTGACCCAGTGGATTCAGAAGGAGACCGACGCTAGGAGCAGCTTCGTGGACGACTTCAAGACCACGGGGCAGCCTGAGGGAAGCTTAGGCTTCGAGTGGAAAGGCAAGACAATGTTCGGCTATAACCCTCCGACGCCAAAGAGGACGATCGAGCAGGTGGCGGAGACACCAGCAAAAGATCGAGGGCGAAGCCGGCAGAGGTCAGTGGCACGCACCAAGCCTGGAACCGAAAGGTCGCGCAGTGGACCACCAACAACAGCGACGGCCGCTGTTCGAGCCGAAGAAGGCACCTCTAAGGAGGAAGCCAAGGGCAGCCACGAGGCGATGGCAGCAGTGAAGACAGAGGTCACAGAATCCCAACAAGCTCAAGGATCCATGGAGTCTGCTGGAAAACTAGGTTCAGCAGAGGGTTTTGTGGAGACAGAGACCACAGAATCCCGACAAGCTCAAGGATCCATGGAGGTGGGCAATCAGGCCGTGTACTTCAACATGGCGGAAGGTGATGACCGCGAAGCCGACAGAACCTAGCACTGCTGCCCTGGAGGAGAAGACAAAGGCCTTTGAGGAGGGCGCAAACTTCTACCTCAACGAGGACGTGTACCATGCGGTGAAGGACCGCATCAAGGTGCTCGAGATGGAGATCGAAGAGAGAGAGAGTACATTAAGCAGCTCAAGGAGGAAGCGGACGCTTACCGGAAGTCCGAGGAGCAGCTACGTACAAAGGTGGCGGAAGCATGCGACAAGGGCGAAGAAGCCTTAGTGGTCGAGTTCGATGTGGATGACCGAATGCCTTCGTGGCTGGAGGGACAATCTACACCAAGGAGAAGCTCGTGAACCCGAAGTCGCAGAAGGAGGTCAACTTCAAGAACCTCACCAAGGACGAGCGGGCCAACTTCGACGAGGCGATGGCCAAGGAAGTGTCCGAGGTTCTACTGGGCGGCATTTAGCAGGGAATGAGGGAATGAGTGAATGAGTGGGGCACGGCGCCAGCGCCGATCTTAGCACTGGGGCACTGCTTGGATGCGAAAGACATCGGCGACAACTCGCACTTCGTAGCACTGGGCACCGCTGCGAGGCCAAACCAACGGCAACAAATCATACTTCTTAGCACTGGGACTCCACTTGAAGGCCGAAAAACGGCAACAAATCGCACCCATGTACAAGTCCAACGGATTTAAAATCCGTTGGACTTGAATTTGAGGAGGTTTGAAACCCCCAAAAGACCTGCTGATGCACATGATGCTCGGCCCCTGCCCTCCCAAACACAAGTCCAGCGGATTTAAAGTCCGTTGGACTTGTGTCTGGGAGGGATTTAGCTGGAATTGAAGCCCGAAAAAGGCCACTGATGAAGGTCTTTCCACTCACATGTTACTATTTAATTGAGTACTAAGTAGCAGTCGTCGTCGTGGTGGTCGGCGGAACCCTATCTTAGTACAACCCAGGGCGCCCTGGACTGTACTAAGAAAGGTTTCGGTCGGCAGAACCCTATCTTAGTACATCCCAGGGCGCCCTGGACTGTACTAAGAAAGGCTTCGGTCGGCAGAACCCTATCTTAGTACAACCCAGGGCGCCCTGCACTGTACTAAGAAAGGCTTCGGTCGGCAGAACCCTATCTTAGTACAACCCATACTAAGAAATGCTTCGGTCGGCAGAACCCTATCTTAGTACATCCCAGGGCGCCCCGGACTGTACTAAGAAAAGCGTCGGTCGGCAGAACCCTATCTTAGTACAACCCAGGGCGCCCTGGACTGTACGAGTACCAAGAAAGGCTTCGGTCGGCAGAACCCTATCTTAGTACAACCCAGGGCGCCCTGGACTAAGAAAGGCTTCGGTCGGCAGAACTATATGTTAGTACAACCCAGGGCGCCCTGGACTGTACTAAGAAAGGCTTCGGTCGGCAGAACCCTATCTTGGTACAACCCAGGGCGCCCTGGACTGTACTAAGAAGAAGGTTTCGGTCACGAGACGCCTCTCGCAAGGGGCCTTGGCCTCTACAGCAAACTTCTCTCTTAGTACAGCGCAGCCCGCCCTGGACAAGGTTGAGACAAGGGTTTCGGTCAGCAAAATCCTTGGGCGAAGCGGGCGACACATTTGGTAAGGATGTCGCTTAAGTGGATGTGGAAATTCTTTTGTGGTGGGTGTGAAATTCGCCTCGATTAGGTAGGCGTGGAAATTCTCTTTTGGGGTGGGTATGATGCTCCCCCGGTTCGTTTGCACGCACGCACATATCGTATCCTTCGTGTTCATTGCAAGGGTCTTCCTTCCTTCCTCCCCACCGCCGCTGCCACACCCCCAGCCTTCCGCAGGGCCCCATATGCCAGGGTTAGGGCTAGGGTGAGGGTCGGGTGCCCTTGAACGTTCCGTTGGCCTGGCCTCCCCGGTTTGGGGTCTCCGAGCAAGCGGCGGGTCGTCGCGAGTGCTGCTCGCCAAACCCGCCCGCCCAGAGAGGAACCGCTGGAGGAAGACCAGGCCAACGGAATTTCTCGCGCTGCCTGCGACCTCAACCCCTACTCGGAGGATCATGGGACTTAGTCAGGTTATACGTAGCCTAGTTGGAGCTAAGTATAGCTACCTTATTTATAGCCCAAGTTACTAAGCCCCATGATCCTCCAAGTAGCCTGAAGCCTGAATCGCACCCCACCGCTCAAACTCCCGCGTATACCACCCAAACCCGCCAAGTGAAGCAAAAAATCTGCATAACAAAGCCGGGCTGTGGCGCTGCTGTTGCTACTGCTACTACTACCCTTTCTACTACTGCCGCTACAGCTACTACTGCTACTACTCCCGCTACTGCTGCAACTGCACTACCACTACCACTACCGCTACCACTATACCACTACCACCAGAACTGCCCCTACCGCTACCGCTACCATTACCACTACCCCTACCACTTCCACTACCACTACTGCTACCACGACTACCGCCACCAGGCCTACCACTACCACGACGACGACTGCTACTAGTACTCAATTAAATAGTAACATGTGAGTGGAAAGACCTTCATCAGTGGCCTTTTTCGGGCTTCAATTCCAGCTAAATCCCTCCCAGACGCAAGTCCAACGGACTTTAAATCCGCTGGACTTGTGTCTGGGAGGGCAGGGGCCGAGCATCATGTGCATCAGCGGGTCTTTTCGCAGTTTAGAACCTCGTCAAATTCAAGTCCAACGGATTTTAAATCCGTTGGACTTGTACATGGGTGCGATTTGTTTCCGTTTTTTGGCCTCTAAGTGGTGCCCCAGTGCTAAGAAGTATGATTTGTTGCCGTTGGTTTGGCCTCGCAGCGGTGCCCGGTGCTAGGAAGTGCGAGTTGTCGCCGATGTCTTTCGCATCCAAGCAGTGCCCCAGTGCTAAGATCGGGGCTGGCGCCGTGCCCCACTCATTCCCTCATTCCCTGCTAAAGGCCGCCCAGTCTAAGGAGCCAGGCTCTACGGGCAGCACGCGAGAAGTTCGACGAGGAGACCATGAAAGACCGTATCATCCCGATGCGGTGGCTGCTGACCTGGAAGCCGTTGACCGAAACGCCATCTAAGGATGACAAGACGGTCCGGAAGGGCGGACTGCACAAGGCCAAGGCGCGGGTGATCCTGATCGGCTACAAGCACCCGGACCTCGAGAAGAGGAACCCAAGGACTGGAGCCAGGTTGTTGCAGACGGCATCACCGACAATGAGCCGACTGGGAAGAAACCTGCTCTTTCAGGGAGCGGCCCTGGACGGCCACACCTTGGAGTGTGCAGATGCCAAGAGTGCCTTTCTACAGGCAGACGCGGACATCGGCACCAAGAGGCTCTTCACCAAGGGTGTTCCTGAGGTGGCGAGAGCCCTGGGCATCCAGCCAGGAATGGCCATGGAAGTGGTCGGAGCCTTTTACGGCTTGACGAACGCTCCCAGAGTGTTCTGGCAGGACACTGACAACAAGGTCACCAAGATCGGAGGGCGGCGCAATCGCGTCGACAAGTGCATTTGGGTCTTCAAGAGCAAAGAGACCGGCGCAATTATCGGTCGCGTGGGAACACACGTTGACGATTTCATTATCGCCGGCGACATGAATAACCCAGAGTGGCTGGCGATCCGGGAGGAATTGAAGAAAATGTACTCCTGGAGTCCTTGGAGGCAGGGTTCTTTTACCTTTGCCGGACTTGAGGTCCAGCAGCTCAAGGACTACTCCATCAAGGTGACGCAGGAGGCCTTCTCGAACTCCTTACAACCGGTGGTGATCTCTGAGGAGGCCAGCCGTGGTCAAGCAAACAAGCTAACGGACCAGGAGATCAGCCAGTGCCGTGGGTTGATCATGAAGGCCCAGTGGAGAGCGGTGCAGTCAGCTTTCCAGTACTGCGCCCGAGTGGGCATCGCAGCCTCAGCGCTGACGGACCCAAGAGTGGCGAACCTCACGGAGGCAAACAACATCCTGAAGGAGATGAAGAAGACGGCCAAGGAGGACCTGTACTTCCACGCGTTTATTTGGCAAGAACGCTGAGGAGCGCCTCACTTGGAAGGATGTGGTTGCCGTCCACTTTGGGGACGCCGGGCACAAGAGCCGGGGTGATGGATCCTCTACAGGAGGATACATTACAGGTTTCGCCGAGCCAGGCATCCTATGGGGAGCTGAGGCGAGGATGTCAATCATCGACTGGAACAGCTGGAAGCTAGACCGGCCTGCAAAAGGAAGGAACTCTACGGAGAGCCAGGGACTTTAGGAAGCAGAAGACCGCGGTTGGCGGGTACGACTTCTGTGGGCGATTGTCAATGGAGAAGAGCTCAACCGCAACAATGCGGTGACCCTGGCGGCCTCGATGGAGTCACTTTTGGTGACTGATTCGAGAGGACTCTATGATGCTGTGAGCAGCTCCGAGTCTCCACTGTTGGGAATGGCAAATAGCCGTACCGGCGTGGAAGTGGCTGCCATTCAGAAGGCACTCCGTGACGATGGCCGGTGCTATCTCACATGGGTTCCCTCCGACATCAACCTTGCAGATGCATTGACGAAGGCAACTACGGAAGCCTACAAGGTCGCAGCCACCTACCTGGAAAGGAAGACTTGGATAGTGCGCTTCAACCACGACTTCGTCAGTGCAAGGAAGCAGCAAAGGCTGCGCCGAGCTAAAGAGCTGCAGGAGGCTGCGTCTTCGACACCGAGTTCTCCTGAGTGGGACCAGTACGTTGAAGAGCTTTTCGAGCCTTCGAGTCCACAGCTCCGCGAGTAAAACACTAGCTCGCAAGGGGTTTTGTGGATGCAGCGTAAGCTTGTGTGTGTGTGTGTGTTCCTTTAGGGAGCAAAGTGCGCAGCTTAAGTGTTTCGCACGTGGCCCCTATGGCTCGAACCTAGGGGGCCCCTTTGAGCTGACCGGAAATCACGGGTCAAAAGAGACTGAGCGATGCATCTATAGACGATTCTTCAAACTGCCGCTGAACCTGCAATGGAAGCACTCATGCTAGCACCCCACAATCCAGGACACCGAGTCCGGAGAGGACATCGCATGGTTAGCCTATTTATGACCACTTGGCCAAAATCTATGTAAACAACAACCTTTCGGTGACTTTCTGAAGGCAGTAGGTCTCACCCCGGAGTGCAAAGGATCTTGTAAACGTTTCTGCATGTACCCTCGAAACCAAAGTCCCAAGAACATCCAAGAACACATCAGCAGGATCACCACACGTATCCTAAATCCGGACAGTGCCTCGTAGGGACACTGCCTTCCAGCACGAGCAAGATCTTAAGACTGCGACTCCGAGAGGACATCGTCACCGAATGTGTCGTCACCGAATGACAGCAATTACAGGGTCTAACAGACCAGTGATTGCGCAACCCAGATACCTGGGGAAGATATGCATATCAACCATTATTCTAACAGCGCTTTGGCTTACTCGACCCGCAACCAGGAGGTACGGCGAGAGACGCGCCCGCTTTACTAAGGACCGTGCGATGAGTATAGAACCCAAGTCTGACCC